TACAGCAGTAGTAAGAATAGGAGAACAATGACAGGTACCATGAGAAAAGCTTCTGTTCGTGTTTGTGATACACCAGGTCCAGTGCTAAAGGCGCTCTGTGGTTACGACCTCAAGGTCAGCAGTTCGAAACTACCAGCTGTTCCGCAGGAGAAAGATGAGGCGTTCTGCTCCTGTAAAGATTTCCAGCCTCTGAAACCCTGTGCAGGGTCGCTATGGGTCGGAACCGACTCCACAGTACTTAACAACAACACCAGGTCCAGTATTAAGCACTCATATTCTCATTCAACCCTGTCAAGGAGCTGTTTACTTACACAAGGACACACGGGAGCAGGCGTTGGGGCTGGGATTTGCACTCCAGCATTCTGACTCATCTTGGGTCGATGGGTAATTCCTGAAACTTCTTTTTCAGGTTATACCAGGGAGTTTTTGCTTTGGAAACGGTTGCCTGTGCATTCCACTCTTATTTCCTCCCTTACTGTGCTGTGATTCTTGGCAACCGATTTGCCTTGTCATGGATATTAATGCCCAAAGATACTGGCGCGTTCTCTGTGTAAAATGCTGTGGCTGGGTAAACTAAGTTTATAGCCAAATAAGATGTGTTGGCCGAGGAGGGCAGAAACCTTTCTTTTTTGCTCAGCAAGACAGTAATCCATGAGAAAAACACGTCATGGAATTAAAAGTTTGAATTTAATGGCTCTAAGATTACAATACAGTTTTAGTCATAGAGGTAAATGGCAGCTCAGAGTATTACCAAGTAAATAAAATCCCTAATCTTTGGCATGTTTAGCTATTTACTCAGCTCAACCTCTGAAAGAACAGAGGGTTTTGAGGAAGAAAGAAATGGCGGGAACAGCTGGGTTCTCAGGGTGAAGACCTCCCTCAGGTAAAAGCTCTAGCCTTTTGAAGAGGGTGTGTTCATGTTTAATGTGTGGGTGTGTGGGGTTAAGGAAGACACGGAGGTTCAAAAGGCACAATGTTTTGCAACCAAGAAATGTCACTGTAAATGGAAGCGATTAAAGCTGACAATGAAATTCAAACCAACATCGAACAGAGTGTAAACAGAGCTCATATGTAGGGGTCAGCGGGCGACATCAGCTCTCCGTCGGGAAGTCCAGATGGGCACTGCCCATAACTCCAACCTGTGGACAGCTGGGACAGGTACCCACCCAGCCTAGTGTGTTTTTCTAAGGTCACCAGGGGAAGGGATCTATGTCACTTTCTGGCTGGTTTTCCAGCTCTCCCAGGATCTGATGTTAGATGGGGGAGGTGGTCCACTGTTAGAAGGAAAGGGGTGTAGACAGCAGTTGCCTTGTAACAGAGGGAAAACTTCAAAGTCAGGCCAGCTTTTAGGTGCGACTTACACAGAGTGAAATCGTAAACATGCCACCTGATGAATTTGGTCTCACCCTTTCATAGCAAAGTTCACTGTGTCTATAGAGCATTGCCGCCACCCCGAAAGTCTGTTCATGCGCCTTCTCAGTCCTTCCATCCCTGTCCCAAACATAGACACTGTTTCCCCTGTTTTCACCCTCTGTGGAATCGTCTGAGTGGCGTTGGTGTCAGCGCTTCTGGATGTTTGGTAGAATTCTCCAGTGAGGCTCTCCTTGCTCAGGGCTTTGCTTCCCCCACCAATACACTCCTGCCCCCATGGGACGTGGGGGAGGTGGGAGTTTAGGTATGGGCTCTTCAGTGTCTTCATTTGTTCCATACGTGTTTGGGTTTCTACCTTGGTTTGTGTCAGTTTAGGTAAGCAGTGGGTTTCTTGAAAGGCATCCATTTCTTCTGTTTTCATATTTGTTGGGAGTCGGTTTTCAGAGCCTTCTGTTTTGACCCTTCCTACTTTCATTGGTTCTGTTATAATGCTTCCCACTGTCATTTGGATTAATTGGCTTCTTCTGCTGATTTTTCTGTTGTCCCTTTGACCAGTGTTTTGTCAACTTTACGGATCCTTTCAGAAAATTCACTTCTGGCCTTGTTGGTTTTATCATTCCTCTGGCTTCTGTTTTCTGTGTTTTTGCTGCTGACTTTCTTACTTGCTGTCTTCTGATAACTAGGCTTCATTTGTTGCCTTCTTTCTAGTTGTTTGAGTTGTAGGGTACATGTTTTTGATTTGGGCCCTTTCATCCCTTTTGGTGTGTGCATCTCTAGGGACGCAAACCGAACGTTCAGAAATGACCACGTCGAAGGAGCTCTGGTAGCGTAGTGGTTACGAATCGGGCTACAAACCACAAGGTCAGCAGTTCGAAACTACTAGCTATTCCGCAGGAGAAAGATGAAGCTTTCTGCTCCCTTAAAGATTTACAGCCTCGGAAACCCTGTACAGGGTCGCTATGAGTCAGAACCGACTCCACGGCACATAACCACCAACCACCACCAGGTCCCCTTAGGAGTCCTGGTGTGGCGCTGTGGGCTACTGTGTCAGACAACAAAGTCGTTTCAACTGCAAGGTCGGTGGTTCAAGCTCACCAGCTGCTCCTTGGAAACCCTATACAGGGTCGCCATGGGTAGGAATCGACTTGATGGCACTTAACAACAACAGGTCCCCTTAAAACCATATCTCCTGTCCCTTGCCCCTGCTCCAGCTATTGTGGTCTCCTACTTTAGTGATGCATATCCTAGGAGTCCTGGTGTGGTACTGTGGGTTCAAACATTGGACCACAAGGTCAGTTTGAACCACAAGGTCGGTCGTTCAAGCTCACTAACTGCTCCTTGGAAACCCTATGCAGGGTCTCTAAGAGTCAGAACTGACTCGATGGCGCTGAACAACAACAACAGCCCATCCACCACAGTGCTTGCTGGACAAACTAGAAGGAGACAGACAAACCAAGACTTTGACCTGGTTCCGCATACCACCCTTAACTGCCCTTGTTGTTGTTAAGTACCTTCAAGTGGATTCCACCTCATAACGACCCTGTGTAGGGTTTCTAAGGAGACAATCTTGAAGCTCAAACTGATTTTGCGGTCCAGCACATTATCCTGCAGAACCACACCCCATAATAGAAAAAGACCCTCACCCTTCAAGCAGTAAAACCCCATGATCTAGTCAGCTGCCACCGGACACACCCCTTTGTAGGTAAATTCCAACTCCTTTAATCCCTTTCTGTAATAAACTAATGTCTCTGGGAGTGAGTTCTGGTCTTTTTCTCGATCTCTCAGCACCTCTGTACTTAGAAGTCTTTTCCCTTCTGGGCCTGAACCCCAACAGCATCTGTGGTATTGGTTGGCCTCTGAACCCTGATTTTACAGTGCCCAGAAGTTGTGGTATGATTCTAGGAATTTCATTTGATTTTAGGAATTAAAAAAACATTTTTTTTTATTCTATTAATGATTTAAGCAAGGTGTTACTACTCATTTTCCATGTATTGAATTTTTTTTCTTTCTTCTTCTTATTATTTATTCAACTTTCATAGCATTGTGATTTCATTTAGTCTTATTTGTGCTTTATATATGTGGCCTGTTCGGAAGAGCGATCTATGTGTGTTGGGGAAAACAATGTCACTGCTGGATGGAGTGCATGTATTTATCTCTGAGGTCAAATTAGATGCTTGTGCTGTTTGGATCTTCTGTATCTTTGTTGAGTTTCTTTCTAATTGTTTTGCCCTTCACCAAAAGTGCCGTGCCAAAATCTCCTAGAGGTATTGTGGGACTCCATCTCTTTTTAGTCCTGTTGAAATTTGTTTGGCTTAATTTTTAATTGTGAATTGTCCATATCTCCACAAAGTTTTTGAAGCCCCCTCATATTCATTCTCATTTCCTCTTGGTGGGTTGACCCTGTCCTTGATATATAACGCCCTTCCTTACCTTCTACGATGGATGTCATCTTCAAGTGTGCTTCATCAGAGATTCATATTGCTGCAGCCGTGTGAGGGGGGGACATAGCAGGTCTGTGCACCTGTAGTGGGGGCAGTGTGGATGAGGTGAGTGCATTTAACACTCATAGGGCGGAGAACACTCCTCCCTGGCTCTGAACGTGGTTGCAGAGTCGTACTTGGAGGTGCTTGGAGGCACTAGGTCATAGGCTTCAGCTGTCTTGTTGTGTTTCAATATGGCCACGCATGCAGGCTTGGCAGGTAGGGTACCAGTGAACTGTGACTCTGTGCCCACTCTTCTCCAGTCTTCCCTCTGATGATCAGGGTTCCAAAATTGTCATCTATATCTGATTCAATCTTCTTCTCTGGTCTTTATTGTAAGTGGGATGTCGCGAGGCATCAAACTACGCTGCTATCTCGGACCACTTCCTGAATTCTTAATGTGCGTTAGCCACCTTGCCTTACTGCTTTATCTTTGCAGCAGCCTTAACTGTTAGGTAAAGAAATTTCAGTCCCAAAGATTTTAAGTGACTTGCATGTTATATAACTATTATTATGTTGCAAAGCTAGGAACCCTCCGAGACAGGAAAATCTGGAGGGATGTAAATCATTTTACTCTAGTCTAAGGTTTCTGAAAAAGACTTAATACCTGACTAACTGAAGGAGTCCTGGTGTGGCGCAGCAGGTGAATGTGCTGGACTGCAAGGTCGGTTTGAACCTCAAAGTCAGTGGTTCAAGCTCGCCAGCCGCTCCTCAGAAACCCTATATGGAGTTGCTATGGGTCGGAACTGACTCAGTGGCACATCACAACTAAAACAACAACTGAAGCATACAGAATTTGATGATAAAACCTGCTAAAAGTTTAACTAGCTAAATCGTGACCCATCCCCAGAGATAACAAGAAGTTGAGTCTTCTAAAATCGCTCCAACTATATAAAATATCTGCAAAAGTTAAAGGATTGTTTGGGCTAATTCTAAACTAATTAGGCTGATGAGCATTAAAATTCAAATTTGGCTTCCAAAGCCACCCACCACCCATGACTTCGTGAACTGGTTTTGTGGTCATGGCCTAGAGCCAAGCTCTCGTGGGACGAAGCCAGAGTGGTCCCCTCGTGCGTGTATGTGACTTGTCACTCTGCCCTGCTGCACGGGCCCCCAGAAAGATGCTGGCTGATGTCTCCTTGTTTGCAGGTATGCTTCAAAAGAGCCCTTCCATCGACGACTTTGTCAGTGCCCTGGTTGACGACTTGGATCCGGACTTTGAAACATTCTTCATGGATTCTGAGTAATGAGCACCTCAGAGTCCATTCAGTCTAGGTCCGCTGTGGTGGGAACGGTACGGCTGTGAGACTGTCTCTGATTTCAGTGTTCACTTCTGGAATAACTTCTGGAAAACCCTAAACCGATAGAACTTTGAATAAATAATGTGTTTTAATTACGCTGGCTTCTGGCCTGTTTGGCAAATGTGGGACCATCTGTCAGTCCACTCTGTGAGAAATGGGAAGTGCACTTGAGCGTACACTCTGTCCATGGAAGGTGTGGGCACTTCCTGCCGACAGGTACTGTCCATTTATCTTCACTGCCTTAAACCAAAGACTTAGCTAAAAGCCAAACTAGACACAGTTTAAAGCAGTCCTCAGAGAACTTACGCACACTGTTCTGAACGTCTGCCATTTCTTAAGACTGCTATACTAGGCTTTGAAGATGTATTCTGATTAGCCATTTGCAGGAACCAAGAAACCATGCCTGATTTCCACAAACTTGTAATAATCTGGTGGTGTTTCCTTAGCATTTTGGCTCTTGGTGTGGCGCTGTAGGATAAGCACTGGATTGTGAGCCACAGTGTCAGTGGTTCAAACCCACCGGCTACTTCTTGGAAATCCTCTACAGGGTTGCTGTGAGATAGAACTGACTTCACAGCATTCAACATCAACAGCCTTTATGGTGGCATTTTGGTGTGGTGCTGTAGGATAAGCACCGGAATGGGAACCATAAGGTCAGTGGTTCAAACTCACCAGCTGATCCTGGGAAACCCTGTATAGGGCCACAATGAGTCAGGACTGACTCAATGGCACTTAGCAACAACAACAGCGATGTTCTGGCTTACATACAGGGGCCCAGAATGGAGGAGGACTTCAACTCAGAGTCTCCAGAATGCGCAATTAGTAGGTGCAGAACAGCTCCTAAGAACTGCGCATTGTAAAGCAAGTCATCTGTAGGGAAGTGGGACTCACACCCTTCTGTCTTTATCCTGGACTCATTACAGTTTCACATATCATGCCACAATTTATCACATTAGGAGAGAAATCATTTGGTTGTTTTCTTCCCCACCATTCTAGACCTTTAAACATAGACTTTCTGTTCGCAGCGGTGTTTGCTAGCTAACACTGTCTTCCGTTTGCTCTCTCACTGACCAGTGATGATGGAAAAAGATGAATGCTTTCCAAAAGGAGTCCTGCGGTGGCGCTGCGGGTTAATGCCCTGGGCTGCAAAGTCGTTGAATTGCAAGGTCGGCAGCTCAAGTTCACCAAATTGCTCCTCGGAAACCTTACACCAGATCACTATGGTTCTGAATCAACTTGACAGCACTTAACAACAACAACAAAAGGAGGCCAGACTTTCACCCTGAAGCCAGAGTAAGGAGGAATCTCTACAAGCCAGGAAACCCCTGAGACTAGCTGGAGCATCGGTGTCTGGCAGTGGCCTCTCTGTGCGGGGCCCACCTGGTAGTAACAAACACTGGTAGATAAACTTTGTGGGGGATGAAAAGCAAAAAGCATAAGTGTGCAGTTTTGCATTGCAGACAAAAAAATCAAAAGAGACACTTGCCTATAAACACCCTTTGTTTCTGAGAATGTAAGGCAAATAGAATTAAAAATAAAAATCATAATGGAAACCTGTAAGCCAGCATATCGCAAGCTGGGTCTTACAGAACACTTCTCGGGAAAAGATGCTTAGTTTTGCTGCATTGAAAAGAATTTTGTTGCTAAGTACATTTGGGAAATGATACCCGAGCTTTGGTGGTTCATTGTGAGTATTAGAATTCTACAGTCACGAAACAAATCAGCATCACATGTTGTTGTTGTCAGATGCCATCGAGTCGGTACTGACTCACAGCGACCTCATCTGTGCACAACAGAATGAAACACGGCCCGGTTCTGTGCCAACCTTAATTGTTGCTACACCTGAGTCCATCACTGCTGCCACTGTGCCAATCCATCTTGCTGGAGGGCTTCCTCTTTATCTCCAACCCTCCACTTTACCAAGCACGGTGTCCTTCTCCAGAAACTGGTCTCTCCTGATAATGTCTCTGAAGTATGATGAAATCTGGCCATCCTGGCTTCAAAGGAGCACTCTGGCTGTACTTCTTCCAATGCAGATCTGTGTGTTCTTTTGGCAGTCCATGGCACTTTCAGTATTCTCTTCTATATGCAAACCAATATTCTCCAAATATTTGATATTTGAT